CCGGTTTTCCACACTCACCATACGAAACGCAGCAGTATTAAGCTACTATTTTACGCTGGTATTCTGTGAGAGCGTGGACCTTCTCCGGTCGAGCCGACCCATTCGTGCTACAACTATACTACCAATATAACTGCAGCATGGCTCTACCACGTATAACATTACACAACACAAATGCAAACAAAATAACGTTATACACTTTTAATTCATAAATATATTCATGGATACTCGACATCAACAAGCAAATCCCGAGTAGTAATATTTTCAACCTCCATTTATGCACTTCGAAAAACCCTTTGAAAAGTAAAGAAAATATCCTTGTATAAAAAATATACTTTTATTAGAGGCAGCTATCGAGTTAACCCGAAACGTTACCTTTAATCTTTTGAGCTTGTTTATACGCCGTTGACTTTTGCGGTCTTATTACAAAATGTTTATTGATAGTCTCTCTTGGTTTAAATTATGGTTTAAGAAAATTTCATACGGGTTGTCGATAATTTAAGCCGCAGCCTATAAATTAACCACAGTGCGTAATAAATTTTGTTAATATTTACCTATATTATTGTTACGAGCTTGAGGTTCGTGACAATAAAAATTGCCGATAAAATTACCTAAATTAACACTTTAATTTACTTTACACAAATTAAAACTTAAAACACTAATAATTAAACACACTAATTCACTTTATTCCGCTCCGAAGCTTCGCTTGTCTCGCCAAATCCAATACTTCCTCGATCGCATCTTGCAGCGCCTATTTATATAAATTAGCAAAGAAATATCCAGAATGTTCAAGTAAACACGCGCAAGGTACCGAGAGTTCGAGTTTTAAACTTCAAGAAATTTAGTTCTTCGGTTTGAGACTAGATGGCGCTAGTGCCGTCGACTTGAGCGCGTAACATTATGATTCGCGGTTTCATAGTTTTCAATTCATTTTTAAATTATTGTACTCGTTGTAGCACCTTCATGTACTATTTGCAGTTTTTTTATATGGTATCCCAATATACTAAATACTGGCAATACTAACCGTGCTAGTTCAGTCCGCGAAAACTCATCATGTATCGAGTCATTCTATGTATCCATGTTTAAGGATTTGCACATTTCCCTAACCTTAGAGTATAGTACTATCAGAAGTAAACAAGTTTAAATTAATATAAATAAAATAAATATAAAAGGCAAACCCGAAAAGTGAAGTAGCTAAATCTTAAAACTACAATAATAAACGTTAAATAAACGAATAAAAGTGGATAGATACAGCAATATTTGCTTGAAACGAATTAAAAACAGCGGGGGTTACAAAGATTAAATCAACATTAAATTTCATGAGTTTCATGTAACTTAACGTACTACTACCACCATTCATTTTTACAATTTTCTATAGCGCTCACCATAGACAATCATCCTGACTAACCCTGATGAAAGTATAGTAATTACATTTGTTTTTATTGAGTAAGGGCGACAAACGAACACACAGTCCACCTGATTGTGAGTGAATACTGTGGCCCATAGACATTTATCCTCCAATACGAATCAAAATGCAGTTGCGATATGCTCTTCTTGATACTACTACCGTTAGTAAAAATAGATTTTGTTGCGATGTACCTTAGGATACTTCTGCAATGACAAAAACCGCCAATTTTTAGTTGACTTTAAAAATGAAGCAGATTTACAATTCAACTGTATGTTATTTTTTATATTTATATTGCGCGATATCCCCATCAATGGTGAACCGATTAAGAGGATATTCCACTTAAAAGGGACCGCTGATACGACTCGTTATAATAAACTTCGGTTATGAAGAATATCGTACGTGGATTACTTTTGTCTGCTTGTGACTTGTGCTAAAGTGGTGCCTACTGCTAGTTTTGTGCTGATAACGTGACGTGTTTATAATAAAATTTTGTAATGCGAGGATACTGTAACTAGCTTATCTCGTTAGAAGGTGAGTTTTGCCACAGGACTCATCGTATCAATAGCTAGAGCATTGATCTTACACGTCGGAATACGCGAGTTTAAATCCTGCAATATGTTTGAAGATTTTTTTTAGTTGTTATTTTTGCCTTTATGTATTCTTACTCATATAGCCCCATAACTGGGCAAAAATAAATTATCATAAGTTAATAAATTAATAACTACAAAAATGAGGTTTTTGAGTTAATTCTGTCACGTATCAACACCAAAATTTTTTGAGTAAAAAATTCCGCACTCTTCGTCTACATTTGTTATGATAAAAGTGAAATTACGAATTAGACATAACAAGAAAAACTCCATAAAAGCACATTATAAGTTTTTGCTAGAGGGCGTCGTCATCTTCTGAATAGCTAGAGCGTTGTTCTAACACGAGGTCTAGTTGCTATGTTTTGTCTTAGTATTCTTACTCACACGGCTATATAACTGGACAAAAATATATTATCACACGCTGATAAGTTGTTTCGTCACGACAAAAATGATGTTTTTGGACTAATTCTGTCACGTTTTCATAACAAACTTTAGTGATGCGAGGATACCGTTACGAGCTTAGTGTTCGTAACAATAAAAAATGCCGATTGAATTACCAAAATTGACACTTTAATTACCGAACACCAATTGGAACTTAAACTAAATAATTAATCACACTTAATACACTTAAGTTCGCAGTTATATCGCTTCGAAGTATTCGCTTTAATCGCCAATTCAATACTGACCCGGTCGCGGTCTTTACTGGCCTTATATACTCAGGCCTTTTCCACTGAAAGATCTAGAATGTTCCAGCACATACCGGTCCCAACCGACTTAGTGTAGAAAGTTTTCTCCCAGTTCTGCCACTCGATACTAGATAGCGCTAGTAGGAAAGTTCTAGCATGGAATTTTCTAGAAAGCTCTCCTACTTCTGATACTCGATACTAGATGGTACTAGTGGCATTAATTATGGCTTGCAATAATACCATACTAGGGTTCCCTCTGTCTTGACAAAAGCAACTCTAGTCTACGTCACGTTTTTAATAACAAACTTTTGTGTTATGAGGATACTGTATTTGTATTATGTACCTCTGTCCCGCCTACAAATTAATGCCTACATAGCTTAGGGCTGATACTGTCATGTGTTTACAACTAACTTTGCCGTACTTAGGACACCTCTATTTGGAGAAATGTGATGTATTGAGCTCATTCTGTTACTTTTTCGTAACACACTTTTGTGATGAAAGGTCATGGTCTACTTATGTTATGATAAAAGTGATTCGTGTTGCCAATTTTGTGCTTATTCTGTGACAGATCTATGACAGAATTTTGTGATATGAGGATACCATATTTAGAATGATGTTTGTAACGCAATGTTTGGGATGCCCTGCTTGGGTTACCTCCGTTTCAACAAAAGTGATGTGTACTGCTAATATTGAGTTAACACTGCCGTTTATACCACAAATGTTGTAAATATTTCATGTGTGCTGATAAAGATATATAAAACGAGGTTCTTATGCGGAAACCTGTACTTGGGTTACCTATGCCACATAAAAGTACTCATTTCGGCTGATCATCTTTTGTAACAAACGTTATTTTATAATAAGAAACTGTCGCATTATGATGGTGATATAAATAATATGTATTAGTATTTTGTTAAAACAAAAAGTTTAAGACCCGATAACTTCAACTATAAACAAAAATGTAGGAGCCAATTAATGGCAATACATAAGCCAATTGGTGGCAAGACATACCTTCTGATACAGGACGTATTTTTGTTTGTAGTCTCACGTAGATATTACAAATTTCACTGAAATAGTTACAGTCGTTTTCGAAAACTCGATTACAAACAAATAAACGAACAAATACATATTGTATAAATAATGCTCTTTTAATAGAATAGCGTGATTAGAGTGTCAAACATTGGACGCATTTATTGGAACACACTTAGTTAGGTTGTTTGCAGTTTCAGTTGTTACATATTCGTAAACTGTTTTATAAAATGGCCAGTTATGGCTCTATCAACTTATACAAATCAGCATTGCCCTTAACTTTATAAATTTTATCGATGGCAATAGGCTAGTACAAATAGTATAAATAATAATTTAACGAGTAAATCCAACTACAGATCGATATTTAATTCAAAAATTGCCAACTCTATCCTGTATTTTTCTAACACGAACTTAGATCTATTGGCTTGAATATCTTCTTCGAACTTATTGATCAGCTGTTTTAGTTTTCAGTAATAGATATGCATAATCAAATGTCTGAATTGATTCCCCAAACAATTTCGAGGCTACCTTATTTGAACAATTGCCCTGAAATGTGTCACATAAATTGGTAAGAAACTATGTTCCGTTGCAGCCTATCAAAATTCCACTGCTGAATATTGGCTTCCATCGTAGATTTCCCCATAGGGGGGAGGGGGATATTTTCTATAGTTGTCACAATAATGCAAGAAGGTTGACAACAAATTTTTATTTTTATTTTTTAGTTGTTATTAGAAAGACGCTGCTTTGGTCAGTTTCCCTCTTTTACGTCTTATGACACCTATGGGACTATACGGCGTAATGGTAATTCTTACAACGTCACTATAAATATGTACAAATTTAAGAAATACCATCAAGCTTATCGACTTCGTAGCTATAAGGCAGTTGTGTGCCTGGAATGTTATATTATAAGTTATACTATATATACCAGACAGCTGACTTATGAAAGAGTCTATATTGAGTGGATATAACACTAGAAATGCATCCGCATCCGCAGTTAAGAACACCTCATCAATATTCTGAGTAATATAATTATAAGTATCTATCTACATATGTCCTTAACTACATAGTACAATATGAAGTCCCTGGCGAGCATCTGACCATTTTCTTCGTATCACCGGGCTTATTTCAGGAACTATTACAGGGATTTTCATTTGGTTTCCACCAATAGACGTATGAAAATCTTATTAAACCTCGAATGAACCTTGATGATTAAATATTCTATATGACCGAATTTTTATAATAGACTTCCAATAGCAAATTAGATTTATTCAAATATGATTCTTGTATTCGTTTCAGATCGCGGAGGTCTTCGGGAGTAGCGACAGCTGTTACACCGCAACCAAAAAACTTAAACCCCGGAGGTAAAAATCTTTTACATTATTTTTTTCGAAATTTTCTGTCAGCTGCCAAATTCAAAGTCCAATTCTACGATAGTAATAGAATTACTGTAATAGAAATAAGAGTTATGCAATTTAGATTACAAATAGTACTTATTCAAAATCACATTTTAATTTACTATAGGTCCGAGTCGCCCGTGGTAGTTCAGATGGTTAGCGCTCGCTGTAATTTACACTGTACGCGAGCAGCCCGGGTTCGATTCCCGCCGGCACCAATGAAATTGTTATGATAGGATGTTGTACTCTTATTATGGCTATCAGCAATCTATTGTCTGCCTTCTATTTCACTTTTTTTAAGTCTATAAACACTAAACACAACTAATAAAATGAAATTGTTATTTGCAATTTGAAGTCTTTACCGTGCTCGGCAGTGAAGGAAAACATCGTGAGTAAGCTTGCATGTCCCAGTAAAAAAGAAAAAAATATTTCAAAGGCGTGTGAAGTTCGCCAATACGTATTGGGGCAGCGCGGCGGACACTTCCTTGCCCTAAAACGCTCTCAGAAATGAGGGGAGGCCTGTGCCCAGCAGTGAGACTTAAAATAAATATAGGCTGTAATTTTAGCCAACTTTAACTGGTTCTAAAATACTTCTGTCCTGGGAAGAACGGGCAAGAAACAACCAATGGTACTTTTTTAAAATAAATTTACAATAATTGTATGTTATCTCGTGCAATCAAGCGTACAAGTTATTCTAGAAACAGTTTGGTAGCGATCACCTAATTTCCAGTGATGCCATGTATTTCTTGATATTTTAAGAGGCTTTTTTATGCAAATTTTGTTTAATAGTTTTTAAAATTTTGCGAAATCAAACTTTTCACACTTTTGTGATTTTTATGACTCTGTGGCGACGAGTATCTGGTATAAACGAGTTATTCGGTGTCGTGTACGCTGCATCACACTAAACTTTCACCCTTTGCCAGTTATAATAAGAGTTTGTCCGCTGTCCGAAAAGAAAACTGTCATATAACGAAACTTCGTCCGTGTTAGTTCAGATGGTTAGCGCTTGCTGTAGGTAGATGAATACCAGCTCATGAGGTACCTTGAGGAACACCAGCTGATAAGTGACCGCCAATACGATTTTCGCCGTGGTCGGTCAGCTGGTGATCTTCTGGTCTACCTAACTCATAGGTGGGCGGAGGCAGTAGAGTCCAAGGGGGAGGCATTGGCCGTTAGTTTGGACATTGCGAAGGCCTTCGATCGGGTTTGGCACAAAGCGCTTCTTTCGAAGCTCCCTTCCTATGGGCTTCCCGAGAAATTGTGCGATTGGATCACCAGCTTTCTTGCAGATCGGAGCATCAAGGTCGTTGTAGACGGTGCAAGCTCCGATTGCAAGCCTATTAATGCTGGTGTTTCACAAGGCTGCGTGCTATCGCCAACGCTGTTTCTTCTGCATATCAATGATATGTTGCAAACCCGTAACATTCATTGCTATGCAGATGACAGCACTGGTGATGCTCTTTACACCGGCCGAGCCAATATTTCTCGGGAAAACGTCTCCGAGTGCCGGGACAAACTTCTGTCTGAAGTCGAGTCTTTGCTGAACAGAGTCTCGGATTGGGGGCGACTAAATCTAGTCCAGTTTAACCCGCAGAAGACACAAGTTTGCGCGTTAACCGCTAAAAAGAACCCCTTTGTCGTATCTCCTCAGTTTCAAGGCACTCCCCTTGTTGCCTCAGCCAGTATCGGAATCCTCGGCGTTGACATATCGAGTGACGTGCAGTTTCGTGGTCACTTGGAAGGCCAAATTGGCCTCTAAAAAGCTTGGCGTGCTCAGCAGAGCGGGACAGTATTTCATGCCGGCACACCGCCTGCGACTTTACAAGGCGCAGGTTCGGCCGCACATGGAATACTGTTCCCATCTTTGGGCTGGGGCTCCCCAGTACCAGCTCCTTCCACTTGACCGCATCCAGCGCAGAGCGGCTCGAATCGTCGACGACCGAATGCTTTCCGATCGGCTCGATTCACTGGCACTGCGAAGAGATGTTGCATCTCTTTGCATTTTATTTCGCATATACCATGGAGAGTGCTCTGACGAATTGTTCGGATTAACCCCAGCCGCCAAATTTCATGAACGCACTACGCGGCAAACGTCCCGATACCATCCACACCATCTGGATGCTTGGCGGTCCACCACAGTACGTTTCAAAAGGAGTTTTCTTCCGCGTACAACTTCTCTGTGGAATAGTTTACCACCGGCGATTTTTCCGGACCGATACGACCTGGGGACCTTCAAGAAAAGAGCCTACTCCTTTCTAAAGGGCCGGCAACGCACCTGCAATTCCCCTGGTGTTGCGGTTGATCATGGGCGGCGGTAGTCACTTAACATCAGGTGAGCCGCATGCTCGTTTGCCCCCTCTTCTATAAAAAAAAACTGAACTAACGTACCTATAGCTCAAAATATATTTAAAACATTTGGAATAAAAATAATTTGGAATATTCATAATACATAAGCAATACGTACTTAGTATTTGCAAGTATATGATTCCTTTCCTACGGAATTGTTGTTTTATATAGAAAAAAATTGAACATTATTCATAACAATTAGTTGGGCAATGGTTTAGTATAGTTTGGGCGTCACTTAAAATGTATGTCGTGTTTATGTTTCTTTGTTGATCTGAGATCCCAGTAGGGATAACTTACGAAAATCTAAAAATCCAAGCAAGCGTACATGGAGATGCTAAAATACGTTACAAATAAATCGCGTTATTTTTGTGACAATTACATATTTAGTTTAATTAATCGAAGAGTAGGATTAATTAAATAAATATTTAATTAATTAAATAACTAAAATAATTTTTCAATTTTTTTTTAATTTTAATAGTATTAATCATACCCCTGCTATAGATTTTTTTCTGTAAAATCATTACTCTCCATTTACTTATAACATGAAAATTTTAATCCCTTTACATTTAACATCTTTGTACTCTCGACGTGTTATTTTCTACGTAAGATATGTATAATATTTGGTGGCTTAGTACGTTACAAGTAATCTTTACAAAATTAAGTCTCCTATCACTCATGACTCGTTGTTAGGCTGAAAATTGCCAGAACACTCACTGAAAACACTATTAACCTTTGTTAAAAGTAAATAGTCGGAAAACATTGCGTTCTATCTGAGCCGCATTAGTCCTCATTCAGAACGTAAATTCAAAATAAAACGCGTGAGTTAACACCCACCTTACACTTTAATGGTAATGCCCTTGCGCTTTTCTTAGTCGCTGTTCTGGGGTCTGGTTCTGGAATGTTCTGTTTATATCTAGAATACGCAGGATGAGAATGGGTGAAGGATTTTCTGATTCCGCTACCAAATTACCAACGCACTAAAAACTTGTTAAATCAGAGGTTATGTAGAGAACTCGAAATTAGTTTATTTCATTGTGTAATAAACATACCGAATCACTGGTCTTGAGGTAACAATGCTGTTCATTATTTATGATTTAGTATAATACTTAATTATTTTTTTAATTTTTGTAATTTATGTAGATAAGTACCTACTTGTTTCACTAATATTTAGTGGAATTTATATCTAAATCACAAAAATGAAGTTTAAATTTAAAAAAATATATTTTTTTATAGTTAACTGGCTGGTTACAGGCGCATTGCTGCCGCGAAAGAAATTGTGGAAGTATCGTTTTAAATTTGTAAGAGTTATACTGTCTTACTACAAAAAGTTAGACATCTGTTCAACACGTGTTTAGCAAATTGGTTACTACAAAAGAGTGTTTAACGGTGGTTTATGGATAGACACGGCTTAAACGTTGTTTAAATTTAAACAGCCGCAAACCCATGTTTAACTAGTATCTAACCTATCTTTCCGTCAGTTCAGTATTTTTATTTAACATGGATATAATTGATTTTGTTGATTAATTCGATGAAGACTACATGGATAACTATGCGGAAATGTTCCGAGAAAGTAATACGGTTCGTGTGAGGGTTAATCCGTTTGACGATATCCCGAGTGATTTTTGTTCATAAATAAAATAACTCTATATATACTACGAGATATATATACTACGCACTAGATACGGCATTCCGAACACTCACTATATTCGCCTGAACTGCACTGCAATCCTACCTAAATCCTACACCTGTTATTGTAGCTTCGATATTCATGCAGTGCGGAGCGGCACTAATAATAATTTTATATTAAATTATCACATATGCAAAATAAACGAAAATTTCAAAAATGTACTCGATTAACAATATAATCTAAATAAACAATTATATATTATGACAATTTTCGCGCGTTTATATCAACTGCGCATACGCGACTCTACTGTTTCCCGCGCATATGCGGATACAGAGTAGTGCACATTTTACATTTTATGTTTGGAATAGCTTCTGTAGTACGTAGTACATATAACTCAATGTTTGTATATTAGATTCCAAAAAATTAATCTATCCTACTTAATTTTGAGATTGCTTCCTTTGATAATTTATCCTAATCAGTTTAAATAAGTTGAGATATTTTTCTTCAAGGAAACACTGCAAATAAAAAACAATTCTTATAATCATATTCCTTCAATCAATCATTTGAAAGATAAAATACATTTCTTGTTAGATCTTAAACTGTTTTATAAAATTTTTTGTTGTTTACCTACTGATTATTTATCTTTAAAGTACGCTCTAATAAAACAAAAACATAATGACTTCTTATATTTACGCGAACATTACACATTGATTATAACTACTTTTACGTATTTTAAAATTAAACGCGATAAAATCCGTAAAAGTAGTTTTAATCAAAACAAAAACGATTCAATGTACGCGTCTATAGGACGCATCGGACTGATCGAATCAGTTTCTGGTAGTGCGTTCCAGTCCCAATTCTGTTGCTGCGGACACAGTACCGCAGCGATGCCCTTGGCGTCAAGAAAGCAACAACAGATTTTTTTTACAATAGAATTAGAATATTCTTGGCAAGTGGACGAGTGCAAAGTGTCTGTGCGTGACAAAATGAAAAGTGATTACGAAGAACTTGTGGTGATTGCTTGATTGCTGGCAGAAGAAGAGAAGAACTGAGTCCCGTTGAATCCTCTGTTTTTCTTGGCATCACTCTCGACGCTAAGCTTCAGTGGGCCCCCATATATCTAAACTAGCAAGCAAACTAAGCGCTGCAGCTTATACTGTAAAAAGATTAGAAATCTCACTAGTGTCGAAACATCAATATTAGTTTATTTCAGTTATTTCCATAGCATAATATCATATGGGATTTTGCTATGGGGGAATGCGGCTGATTTAGAAACTATTTTTGTTTTGCAGAAGAGGGCCCTAAGAGCTATTTACAACCTAAAACCGACAGAGTCTCTTAGAGAAAAATTTAAATAAATAAACATATTAACTTTGGCCTCTCAGTATATCTACGAAAATTTAACGTATGTTCACAAAAGCAAAGGTAGTTTTAGTAAAAAAGTGATATACACTCTGTAAACACTAGTATCTCGACTCCACAGAGTCAGTAATTCATTCTTGGGGCAAGGTATACACTATTACAACAAAGTCCCAAAAAATATACAAGGTCTCTCTATTACCAAGTTTAAATATTTAATTGATTAAGCAAGAGCTTATGCTTGCCCGGACTTGCGCTTTATATAGTGTAAATAAATGTCCCGGCCTGAATTTATTATTTTTACAATGATTATATGATGACTAATGACATAATTATTTTTGCAAGGACACCTAGGCCCTGGACTCGACAAAGTTAACGCCTAAACTTAAAGTTAAAATAACCTCAATCCCCCCCCCCCCCGCGGCTCAACATATCAAATCATATCATATCAAAAAGAGATTCAAACAACTGAAAGCGTTGAGTGAATCTCTTTTCTTATTATTTTGGCTCCTTTTTTCCAAAATAGAAAGAAGGAGCCAAGGTGAGTTGGCTCCTACTCGCGGTGAAGAGACACGCTTATGTTTTGAAGGCGTTGAATCTCACAAGATTAGCATTCAGATACTGCCTGCAATGAGAAAATCACATATTCAATAATAGCTGCACTTTCGGACTGGATTTGATCCCGACTGGTTCAATCACTCAGCTGATAGCTCTCCGTAACTGCGCTGTCATCTGTGTACCTATAGGAAATAGTTGCGGAAAGACCGGGCCCCTGAGTAACTACGGCATTAGTTGTCATAGGCTCAGAAGAACAGATTTCCACAACGACTCGGAGAGACCATTCGCTCAAAAAGTTGTACAGCTGATTAGACCAGGAAATACGCTAAAAGCTTGCCTAAATGATAGCGTGCTAGACTCTTTCAAAGGCTTTTGAGACATCAAGTAAAATAGCAATTGCTTTCCCATTCTTCTCCAGAGCCTCGCCCCATATTTATGTGGCATACGCTAGAAGTTCCCTGATGTCGACCGATTATTGCGGACCTTATCATGTGACATATGAGCTAATGTTGTTTTTTTTTACCTAACGCTGATATGACAATTCATCTATATATCGTATGCTTTAAGTTTGAAAGTCAATACAATTCTATATTTATGAACTTCTCCTTAATAATACTGTTTAGGAAAACGTCTGTTTCTCTAGGAACTGTTTTCGAATTGTCGTGTACAATGAATTTGCCACCATTGATTATATACGATAAGATTGAATGTTTTGACGGCAAAATAGTGAATAAGCGGAACTTTTCCTAACGCTATTTGCGTCGCAAAAATTTACTCGCCTACTAAATAGAATTTGTTTCAATATTTACATAATGTGACTTACAACGGAATTCAACGCAATTTTATAAAAAATACTTTTAATAATAAGTAAAAGTCGATTTCAAAGAATAATGTTTATATTTGTAAAATAATGTTTTACAATTTAATATATTTTATAAAATAACTAGTTTGCTAGGCAGATGTTGTTCTGCCCTTTTCGACGACCCTTTGTCATGCCCTTTTAAAGATCTAGATCTAGATCCAAAATTCTATCCAAAATATAGTTGGACCAAACTACACACGGTGTGCAAATTTGATTAAAATGGGTTAAGTAGTTTGTACTCCAACACAGACAAACAACGTGACACGTAATTTATATATATTAAGACTAGCTTGCCAAGCAGACGTTGTTCTGCCCTTTTCGATGACCCTTTGTCATGTCTCATTAAAAATCTTTAAATTCAGGGGTCTAATAACAAAAGCGGCAAAGTCCCATATCATTATATGGGACTTTGCCGCCTTTGTTATTAGACCCCTAAATTAGCAAAAAAAATTGTGGGTCATTCATAGGCAAAAAACTATTCTATCTCTCATTTTGGACCAAACTGCACACGGTGTGCAAATTTAATTAAAATCGGTTAAGTAGTTTAGGAGTCCATAGCGGACAAACAACGTGACATGTAATTTATATATATATATATATATATATATATATATATATATATATATATATATATATATATATATATATATTAATATTTCACATTCTGAGTCAACGCTGACACAGTGTAAAGAATTAAAGCACTCCGACGTCAGAATTTAAAATTATTTTATCCTATTTAGTTCAGTTCCTTGAAGTCGTGATAGCTGAGTTTTTTGTAGAAGTCTTGGAAAAACCCGTATGTCGATTCGCATAATTAAGTCTATACCCTCAGAGTAAGCGATCCTACCCCTGTCACGATGGAGAACTGCACACTTATCCGTCCCCAGCTCCATTCTAATAGAATTGCGAGAGTCACAATTGACGTTTAGAAATTCCATAAGATTGACTCAATCGGAGCTATTGGAGACGAATAACTTAAGATCATCTATATTGAAAAAGTACGTCACTTTTTCCTTCCTTGTTGAATCTACAATATCCTCCCGGAGCCCTCCAACAATGTAATGAGTGGCTTCAGAGGTTGACAAATCGACATATTCAAACATGAGCCCTGGAAGAGATACCCCTACGTTTGACCACCTCGTTGGTGTACGAGGTTACTCGTATTTGTCATAAGCGTCGCTGACATGGTTCATAGGCACGTCGCTAAGTCGCCATATTTTCACTCCAAAGGCCCTCGCTGTGATTTACAGGCTCTGATCAAAAATCCGCCATGTGTTGCTCGGTGACTTTTGAAGAGACTTTTAAATATGATTTGAATTTCGATAGATTTTAAGTAATTAATTAAATTTATTAAATTCATTACTTTTATTTTTATTTTTTGGAAAATATCAGTGCCATAGACTTCTATTCCGTTCACATGTTACACCCTATTTTTTCCAGACGGTAAAAAAGATCATCCAGCATATAAACACATACAAACATACGTACATAATGGTGAAGATAATAACGCGTGTTGAAATAGAAACATAACAAAAGATCCTTGTTACTACCACCTTAATCGACAGCCGGTAATTGTAAAAATTCATTGTCGAGCGAACAGGAGAGCGTGTTCTCGCGCATGCGCGAGTAATACGTTCCTATGTGTCAACGTAAAAAACGCACAACTAAAAACGTACGATTTTATCTAAAGGATACGTTATTGCGAAGTTACAATTCTTGTACTTTATTCCCCGTATTCCGTCATAGCATTTGGGAATTTTAGATTATCTATCAGACATTTTTCTTAGTCGTAAGGACCCATCATCATAATACTTGCATCGCAAGTCCTTTGCTAAACATAGATCTCATAACGCTGCCACAAGTTCCTGAGCCATCGGCATCCATCGGCTACCTCCATACGTTATCACATGAGTAATAATTCCTTAGAGTAAAACACCGAGCTTGGCATCTACAATTCTGTAACTCGAGCTTTGCAGTCACTTTAGCGTACTACGTGAGGCTATGTCGGTCGGAGCGCCTTCGGCGTATGGGTAGTTACATTATTTGTTTACTAACTACTTTTCTATACGAATAACTATAAGGCTGTTTTAAACTAAGTAAATTTATATTTCTATAAAGTTTTAATAATTAGTTAAATCTTTGAAGTGAATACTTCTTTAGGCACGTTGCCACTTTGAGATGAGAAAAGCACTGAACTCGCGCGACCCTCACGCTCCGACACATAAAATTGATGAAAGTAATGTTGAAATGAAAATCCAATTGATTAAAATTTTATAAAATTGATATGTATTTATAAATTTTTCTGTATTCATTGTATATATGTGTCACTGTTTTTATGTAACAAACAGTAATAAGTAAAAAATTATTACTATACTCGTACTAACAACATATAGATACTAAATAATTTCTTAGCAACCCAAAAATAATGTTTGTAAATCTAAGTTTTCACTTCTGACGTGCAGACTAACAGTTTTTTTTTAATTAAATAACGATGACAAGCGAGCACACAGTCCACCTGGTAAGAAGATGCTGTAGATCATAAATATCTAAATATATCCTCGACAAGGAATTAAAAATGCAGATGCGTTGTCACCCCTGAGGACTACGATGAAATGCCTCGTATCCTGTAAAAAGGGTCTCCGGTTCTCTACACTAACTATGCGAAACAGCATTAATCTGCTTTCGTGCTACAACTATAATAAAATGCAACATGGCTTTACTACGTATAATATATAATTTTATATAATGTACACTTAAAACTAACTTAAGTATACGAATCCTATACCTTTAAACGAGCAATTCTTGTATATATATATATATATATATATAATGATTTCTTATATTTACGCGAACACTACACATTGAAATAATACTAGTTTTTACGGAATTTATCGCGTATATTTAACTTTTTAAATACCCGACGTTTCGAACGCTTTACAGCACTCATGGTCACGGGCAGGACTGAGATGTTCAACGTCCATATGTCATAGTTAACCGCGGTTACCATAGATTAAAATTTAACTTTTGTTCCGATCTATGCAGTATGAACTTATGGTATCTTGAAGTCTTGCAGTTGTATGCTTGGGTTGGGATTTAATTTTATTTATTATAGGATCCCAAGCAGATGGTAGCTCCCAGCCATCTTCTCTATTGAAATTAGGATGTTTTTTGATTTCAATAGCCTCGCGAATCATCCTTGGAAGGAATCTGTTTTCTTTAGCGAGGATGTGCGGTCTATCAAATCTG